TACTTTATGTCAAAAAAATTGACTTGCCAAAAGCAAAACTTGAAGTTTCTGATTTTGATGCAAAGGAATCTTGTGGCTCCTTAGACAATATGAGAAATAACATCGGTCACATAAGGATTAATAGATCGTATCTTCTACCTCTGATCTCAGACAATGATAATCATACTACAGCATCACAGCTAGGGCGGCCCGTGGTCTGAACAGGGTGGCAATGCCTCAAAATGGCAAGATGTGCCATCCCACCTTAAGATCACAAGGAGATGATGTGTCTATGATCTCCATTGCTTGTTTGGAACTTCAGCACAGTCTATTTGAAAAAGGGGCATGGAAGACTGGACAGACATGGTTCTAGATTCCACCTTTATTAATTATTGCCAGAGGTGATTTATTTGTTCAAGCATTCCCATCAGAATTGCTGTCATACCTTTTGACTTAGAAAGGTTATTTGGGACTATAACCTCCAGGAACCCTCAGTCAGTGTGACCACTGTAGTCCAAAGAAAGTAACTTTCTAAGCTCATCAAAACAGGTAATTGTTTACAACCTAGACATTATTTTTTGTCATCATACATAGCCATGTGATTTCATTCAGGCAACACACCTGAATCAAAATGCCTCAACACTGGGATTTTAACATTCCAATAGCAAAGATTACAAATTCAGATTGAGGTAGTGGGCACACCAAAAGAAAAACAGGTGTTGCACAGAGCCAGTGTATATACTGTTGAATAGATTGCATTCACAACAGTGCTAGCAGGTTGTGAAAGGTTGTTTATCTTCCCAGACTTGCTCCTTCAGATAAAATGCCCACCCCATGTGCATTCTCATGTGATCAAAACAGAGAGAGCAAAAGCCTTGGGAGACTTCCTGACCCCGAATTTCATGAGACACTCCTTAGTCTCTGCTCTCAGGCTCCTCCACACCCCCATCACCCCACCTCCAACCCCATGAGACAAATCTCACTTCAATAGAATCTATTATGTCTCTTTTATCCCCTCTGCTTTTCAATGGATGACTTGGTTTTGCCTGGGAAGCCCAGCCCCACCGCAGCTAAAGGAGACCAATGGCTGCTAAGCACAGGGAAGAATTAATGCTAAGTGACTGTGCCTTTGTGAGTCTAAGGACTCCAGGCCCATCAAGAATGCCTGGGAACATGTGCAGATTACAACAGGGTGCAAGCAAAAGATTTTTTTTTGAAAAAAAATCCATTGAAAACAAACATCAACTTTAAATCAGTGTTAACCAGACAGGCAACCCCTATAATGCAAGTTTGGAAACAGGGGCCCCAACACTGTCTCTTTGTTAATTCCATGAAAGCCCCGTCAGCAATGGACAAAGACAAATTTGGAGGGGATGTTGCCATGTGTCAGGTGCAGCAGCGAAGAATGGGGATGCAGGGGAAGTGAAGGGAATAGACACATGCCATTGGTCCACTGCTCCCTCAGATACAGCTGAGCTACAATTGCACTCAGGAAAGAGAAGGTTACAGGGTCACAGTCTCAAGCAGCATTCTGGCAGGCTGAACGGTTAAGTATAGGAATTTAAGTGCAGCAATGTGCGGAGAAGCATCCAAGAATGCTGCTGTGATCATTACCACATGATGAGCAATCCACCTCTGTTCCTTTGGCAACAGTCATTTCAGATATTCATAGTTCTTTGGTCCAGGCAGGGGTGGGAAACCTATCCCTCCCAGTTGTCATTGAACTCTAACTCCCATTAGCCCCAGACAGCATGAAAAATGTTCAGGGATAATGAGGAATACATTAGTCTGAAATGTCTGAAGAGTCAATTTCCCTATGTGAATCCTAAGGAAATTACCAGTAACACAGAACAGCGATTGGGTAGTATTTAGTACAGAGACCGCTTGAAAACAAGATAACTGTAGCTCTAACTATAAGTAGGTACTGTCAAGAAAGTTGTTGTTCATCCTTTGGGCCATTGCTATCTACATGGTTAAAATGCCACCTGTCGACTTTGAATGGGACACTGTCCTTTGGTCAAAACTTAATTAATTACAGCTGAACCTTTATGAATTAATAGATTGTGCAACAATATAGGGTGTTTCTTAAAAACATTTCTCTGTAGATTTCAGTGTGCTTAACACTCATGTTCAAACCAGTGGGAATAAAAAGCCTAAGTCCAGTTAGAGCAGATTCACAAAACCAATTGCTGAATAGTATGTCAACCCATGGTCTAAATACCCAAAAGGCACCAAAGCCTATCTGATCTTGGAAGCTAAGAAGGAACAGTCCCAGTTAGTAATTGAATGGGTGACCACCAAAGAGTATGAGGTCCTGTAGTTTATATTTCAGAGGATGGAACTGGCAAAGTCACCTCTACGTATTCCTTGTCTAAGAAAATCATATAAAATTAATGGAGTCACAAGTTGAGAGGTGATGTAATAGCACATATGCATAGGTCAGTTTCATTGATTCTATAGGGATACCCTAGTTGGGGCTAGCAATTGGATTTAGTCCACTATGTTTAGTTTTGTCTGGATCGTTCCAGCTTCCACTAATTATTCTGATTGAGCTGAATACACACATGAAATCTGACAATAATTAGAAATCTTTGTTGATACTGTAGAGAAAAAAGAGAAACGCCCCAAAATGTCCCAGGAGCATTAGAAGGAATTTTGTAAGATGATGTTAATCGGGATTAGCAGTGTACCAGCTTGAAATCAAACAAAACTGGGGAATCTGAATTAACTAGCACTGATTAGATTACATTTTGCATATGAATCAAATGAAAAATGAAGTTTGCCTAATTGGTATATTGGGTGGGTTTCAGATTCATTAAGTGCAACTATATCTCAGTAGTCTAAAGTCACACCTGCCTTTCCACACTGTATATAATGAGACTCAAGTGCAACTATATTAGTCTCAACCAGGCCCGTAGCCAGGATTTCGTTTTGGGGAGGGGGGGGCTGAATTTTTTTCGGGGGGGGGGGTGGGGGGGGGTGGGGGGGGGGGGCTGAGTCTGAGTGAAAGAGGGTCTACCCTAGCAAACCTTTTGTATCATTACCCAAATACCCCCATGCATATGGGATATATTGAGTATGGTGATCAGATCATGATATGAATAAACATAACAGTTTAAATAATGCACCAGTAAGGCCTTTTCGTGAACCACCATGAGAATTTCGGGGGGGGGGGGCTGAAGCCCCCCCCCCCCCCCGGCTACATGCCTGGTCTCAACCTAAACTCTTATGTACATATAAGACCATATTAAAAGAGCTAAATATGTAAAATGTTAAGAAAGCATGTGACTAAAGCCAAACCACAGAATGTTGCTAGCGAAATTTACATAAGATAAGAAAGGAAATAGGATTGAGGTGAGTAAGAAAGAGACAAAAGGTAATGTATGAGAGCAGACAAGGTGAAGTTCAGATAATTCAGGAAAGAGTTACAGGTCCTGAGGTAGAAGATGGATTAGAGGTCACTGGACAAATAAGGAGATAAACAATGCAACAGGAAGTACAGAAATGAAGCCAAAAGGAAATAGCAAAAAAAGAACTACATAAGAAAGTATGTGCTGAAACGAACACAGAAAAACCTATCTTGCTTGGAACAATATTTGTGATAAACATACTATTGTTTAAAAGATTTAGAAGAATTTTTATCATGAGTAATTTTTGGAGACAGTCAGACTGGCATACTTATGAAACAATTCTGTCTGTTTCGTCTCTTCCTTCCTGTTTTAACTTCCTGCTCACTTCCTGTGAAGATGACGTACAGTTGTAAACATCTTAGCCTAAACCATACCACATCCTGCCAGGATTACTGATCTACTCTGATACAGTCTCTTCCCCAGAAAGCCTGTCTGTGGAGAGAATATTCAGACTTGCATGCCATTTTATGTAGCTTTGGGCTGGAGGGAGGAACCAGTACGAAACCAAGGGCCCTTCTACATAGCCCTATATCCCAGAATAACAAGGCAGAAAATCCCACAATATCTGATTTGATCTGGGTTACCTGAGTCTACACTCAGATAATGTGGGATTTTCTGCCTTGATATTCTGGGACGTGGAAGGGGCCTTGCTTATTTCTCCTGTGGTAGAAACAGGATAATTTATGTTTTCAGCTGGTATCAAATCCTACCCTGACCCTGTTTTCCTAGAACATTCATCACATGACAAACTTGAAGAAATCAACACTTTATGTCACCACATTAAACAGTTTTTGGCATGTCCTAACACTACGATCTAAGGGCCCTTCCAGACAGCCAGATTACCCAGAAGATCAAGGCAGAAAATCCCACAGTATCTGCTTTAAACTGGGTTTTCTGAGTCCACACTGCTATTAATTCCTGTTCAAAGCAGATCATGTGGGATTTTATTCAGCTATGTGGGAGTGGGCCGTGTGAAAATTTTGACAGCTGTCAAACATCTTTTCTCTCCGTTTAAAGCATAATCCGGTGTATACCTTCATAACGATGGTGGCATGTATAAAACACACACAAGTTCTCCAGTATTATCAATAGGACTTTGTTAATGGGGTTTGACACCACTTTAATTGGCTTGGCTCCATGCGATGGAACCCAGTTATTTGTAGTTTTGTAAGGCACCAGGTTCGAATCCGGGGAGCGGGGTGAGTTCCCGCTGTTAGCCCCAGCTTCTGCCAACTTTGCAGTTTGAAAGCATGCGAGTGTGAGTAGATCAAGAGGGACCGTTTCTGCGGGAAGATAACGGCGCTCCATCCACATGACCTTGGAGGCATCTACGGACAACGCCGGCTTTTCGGCTTAGAAATGGAGATGAGCACCATCGGACAGTGTCAGGGAAAACCTTTACCTTTTAAGGAACCAGCACTCATTGGCAGAGAACAACAGAGGCCCTGTATAACTACAAATCCCATGGTGGTATAGCGCCATTAAGCCTGTTCAGGTCCTGCATTTCCGTATTTCACAATGTCGAGGCAGCATTGTGGCCCCGCCTACCGAGAACTGACGCGGGTTCCCGCCAGCGGCGCCTCATCTACATGATCCCGCCCCTTTCTCTTGGCCCCGCCCCTCCAGGGCGTTGAGCTTTTCTCGTGCCGGGCCTCGCCTCCCTCTGTGACGTATCACTGACGCCTGCTGCCCCGGATGAGGCTGGGTTCGGAGTGTGTCAGCGACTGTGTGGGGATGCGGCGGAGGCGGCAGTAGCAGCAGGAGGAGCAGCAGCAGGTTCCGCGAGAGAGACAGCCGGTAAGGCGCACCAGGCGGGGCCTGGCAGGGAGGGAGGCAGGGAGGATGTCCGGGTACTAGGGCACGGTGTTGTCGAATCCGGCTGGGCCCCCCTCCCTTCCCGAAAAAGCTCCCGTTTCCCTCCTTCCCCGATTGGCCGCTAATTGACAACGGGGCAGATTCCGCCCCTTAGCGGGCGCTTATTAGTTGAAACCAGCGGCACGGCTCGCCGCGATTGGCTCGAAGCGCTGTCACTCACGGAGTAGGGCGGTGGCGAGTGTCCCCTGAGGGAGCCGGGAGGGGGTTCACGAGGTGACCGTTGACGTGTCGCTCGCGCCCTGAGTGGGGGGGGGGGGGGGGGGGGGGGGAGGGGGCGAATTGGGAGGCGGGGGCCGCGCGCGTGGCGTCTCCTTCAAGGCCCGCGTGGCCTCGTGACTCTTCGGACCCGCCTCGCGCGATTCTGGCGCCTGCCTCTTCCAGCTCCCGCCGGCCTGGGCCCTCTTTTATGCCGAAAGGGGCACCCACCCGCCTGCCTCGTCTCCTTCCCCTCTTTCACCTTCCGCTCTTCGCAGCTCAACGCCCGCCCCGGGGCCAGTCGCTTGGCCTTTTCTCGAAGGGCCGGGCCTACTAGGAGCATCTGAAGAGCATCCGGGTCGAGGGAGCCTTTGGCAACATCTCCCTCCCCCACGTCTTTCTATCTGGTCATGCTTGACTCACGTTAAATTCACACTAGAGAATGAATCTACATTAAATACGGGTTCTTCTTCTGCAGAATTCTGGGGTCTGTAGTTTAGGGAGGAGCCTTTAACAGCCTCACTAAACTACAAACCCCAGAATTCTGTGGCAGGCAGAAACCGGATTTAAAGTGGATTCATTCTCTAGTGTGATGAAATCATCTCTCTAGGCCTCCAGGTGATTTGTATTCCAATTCCCAAAAGCGTGAAATACTTTGGCCAGTAATCAGACATTCTGGGAACTGAAATCTGAAACACCTGGGAGGCAGGAGCTGGGGAATCATTCACTAGAACTAAGGCCCCATCTACATTGACCATCAGACTGGCAGCCAGACACAGAAGTGGATGAAAGAAAACCCCTTCATATGTACCAATGCTCTGTGGTTTGTCATCACCATCCTGGCCGCAAACTGGTTCCAGGATTTCCTGTTTAATCGTCTGCACAGCTAAACCAGCATACTTTAATTCTGGTTTGAAACTGCATTAAATGGGGCTGAAGTAATAGCAAATAAGTCACAGCTGACAGATTCCCATTCTGTAAGAAGTGTATTTTTTGTAGATAACTCGTTTGTAGTTGAGCAACATCCTCCCTCATTGTAAAATCATGATAAAGTTCTGGGTGCCCTGGTCAGTAGCTGAACTTTCCCAACTCCCTAAAACAAAACTTATTTATCAGTTCAGGCCAGTATCAAATCTTTTGAGGGTTATACATAGACCAAAGGCCTATCAGATCTCTTTTCTGTTCCCATGTTGACCAAACAAATGCTAATTGAAAACCCACAAGCAGAACATGAGTGCATCAGCAATTATTATTATTATTATTATTATTATTATTATTATTTATTTGTACCCCGCCACCATCTCCCTGAAGGGACTCGGCATATCTAACAAAGCACTAAAGTGCCACACATAAAATAAAATTATATATCATCAAAACAAGGCACACTTTGACTGAATATAAACAACGGACAATATCAATCAATAATTTTTTTAAAATTAAAAATTCTAAAACATGTCATATCTCTCCCTTCACACTTGTGCTTATCTATGATTGGCATACAAAATATACAACTTCTAATACTGGAAATATATAATATCATGACTAATAAGTATTGGTGGTTTTGTTAGTGAATTCTAGAGTTTAAATATGTGTTGTGTGAATAAGGATCTTCTTCCCACATCTTCTGTGTAAAATCCTGGGAAGTCTGAATTCCTTTTTATTGGACCCTGTAATTTGCCGTTCTCTCCCACACACATAAAACTTTCATAAATCAGGTTAAAGTGCTGGCCACAACTGTAAAGAGCTTATGAATATTTACTTTTTGTGAATTATGCTGTAGTGCACTATTAAATATATTGTTTCATGCCCTCACTCTTGGTTTGAGTCAAAAAGATAAAAATTAGCATGATTTGTTTTTATATTTGATATGTATAAATTGTGTCTTCATAATTTTATATCATGAGGAAATGTAGGGAAGGTGAATTGAATGGTCTCTCCACTGTTTGCATTCCATTCTGACTGCTATTATTGAAGCCTAAGAGACATAGGGGAGAAATCTACAGTAAGGGAGCATGGGTAGGTTGAGGGTTTCAGTTTTCCTCCCCTGAACCAGTCTTTGCTCTTAGACCTTGATGCACTTTCCCAAACTGTTACAAATGTGATTGCTTCTGTCACGTGCAACTGTACATATTCTTCCTTTGTCAGTCTTACTTGCATCTTTCTTTGTAGCATTCTGCTGTGTCACATTTCAGATTCCAGGCTCCTTGGAAAGGGACCTCTCTTGTTTGTTTGTTTGTTTGTAAAACATCATATACATTGGATCATTATCATCTCAATAACAAGAATAGCTTATTTACTAATTTTGATATTTTGCTGTAAAATTAAAGCCTCTTAGGCCCCTTCTGCATTGCCGTGTAAAATCCAAATTATCTGCTTTGATAGTCTGGATTATATGGCAGTGTAGAAGGGGCCTTAATTACTAGCCTGTTAAACTTGGGTAAAGGAAAAGCCAAGGTGTTCAGCTGTCAAACGGTTGCTAAGATATACAAATATACTGATGATGTCGGAGTACTGAGTTCCCATGAGTCACTGGAAATATTATCCTGTTGCTGAATTAAGAAAGTGGCAGTTATGCAAACAGATACCACATGTTATGCAGTACAGATGTCAACTTATTGGAAGTATTTGTGATACACAAGCCCCAAACCAAAATACAGCCTAAATGAACACAAACTGTTGACCTGATGTTCACCCAGCAAAGAACACTGCTTTGGGAGATTAATTGGTAGGAATATTTATGAATAAATTCCACAGTTGCTACTCTTTCCACTGTACTGTGCTATGTGAATATTTCTCTGGTTGCATCTTTGATTACTCAATATATTCAGCTGTTACTTGCCTGATTAGTAGATATATTTCTGGTTCAATCCAGGTGATGGCATTGCTTCATTCAATAAGACAGTCAATTTGTTCAGCATTTGATAGACGATGGAAGCAAATCTAGGAAAGTAAACTTCATTGAGAATTCACTTCTTTGATTTAAGATGGATTGGAAGTCAAGGCTGGGATGTACAAAAGTGTGAATGTTTTAAAGCACTGGTATAAAATTTATAATTTTCTCTGATAATGTAAACGATTGCCCCTGAAAGTTGAAATACTGAAGGACTGATGTGTTCAAACCTAATTCCTATGATATTTCCCAGACTTTAAAAGCTAGAGAAGGTCTGAGGTTAAATGCTCAGCTGTTCAGAGACAAGGTAGTGCAGTCATTGGATCCTAGGCACAGGTTGACAGCTCCTGCAAGTATTATGGGAGGAATAGGTCTAAATGTTACAGCATGAACAAATAGATAATATTGCAATAGCATAATGTCTGATATCCTTTCCATAGCTTTAAAGAGCTTGGAAATTGAAAACTTAACAAGCTACGATAGTTGATCTGGTAGCTGATCATTGTTGTATTGCATTCTTTTGCTAACAAATGTTTTTTGGGTACAAGCTCTATTTGTTTAATATGGAGGTCTGCTCCTTCTGGAGAGTGTGGATTCAGGTATTTCTGTTTGCAGTATGGCTGAAAAATCTTGATCTTTAATCTTGAACTTGTTTTGTGTATGTTGACCTTAACACTAAGCAGCTACTTGTTAAGCTAAGTGCAAAGGTACCTCAAGACCAAAATATATACTGAATGCACTTAAGTGTAACATTTCTGTGGTAGGAGTAATACATTTTCTTTCTCTAAGTTCTCATCCTGATGGGAAAGCAGTCTTTCAGAGAAAATATGAATTAAGCATGGTTTCTTTTCCAGCCTTTTATTTACTTCATTTAGGTCCTGCCTTTTTTCTATTATAGGTGACTTAGGTGGGTTTATCTTGGCTTGGTGCTCCTTATTTCTTTTTAAAAAGTTGGAGAAAGTTCTATTTCATTGTGTTTTGTACTTAGCGTGTTGGTTATGTGTATTTTGCACTTAATGTCTCGTTAGGATACAATTTCTTTAAAAGTACAAGGCTTTAAAACATCAGAGTTCTTTCCCAGAGATTTGCTGATTGGCATTAGAGCAAAGAAGAAGAAATGGCTGACTCACATTTAATGCTTGCCCAAGGGAGAGTGAGACACAATAGCTCTGAGGATACTTGCATCATTATTGAAATACATATAGACTTTGAAAAGTGACAACAGAAATAAAAATATCAATGGAAAAATAAGTTAACTAAAAATGATTCACTGGGCATAATTATATTACATAGCATTTGTTTTTCCAAGGAGGGAAATAACAGCTTACATTGTCACTTGGATATTAGGCTGGAGTATATGATAGAGTTAGCTTAAACATCCTTAAACAGGGGTACTCAAACTTTTTAAGCATGTCCTCTATAACAAAGTGAGGAGTGTTATTGTCAACTAATTTTTAACTTGGTAGACATGTCTTCTTTTATCTTCTTGAATTATCTCATGTTCTTTTCTTCTCTTCCGGGTTTTCATAATTATAATTTGGTTGGTTATTCTTGAGCCTTTTCTGCCAAAGACTGCTGATGCCACCTTTGAATACTTCTAAGAAAGCCCAATGAAAAACATGTAGCTTGGGGACCCTTGCCCTAAAGGCACTAGATTCCAGCTGATCTAGGTTAACCGCTGGTTAGTATTTGGATGGTTGATCAACAAATATTTGGTGCACTGGACTATAGTTTAAGAAAGGAACTCACAAAACTATCTCGGAGTATTCATGGGTTGCCATAAATTGACAGGTGACTTGAAGGCACATACTCATATTACACAAATTGATATGTAAAT